CCACTGTCAACTCCATCGGTCAGCATTCCAAAAGATCGGCCAATCATACATTCGCCCAAGATCGCCCACCAGACCTAGCATCGCTAGCCAAAAGTGCACAATCCACAACAGTTACGTTGCTAGGCAAACGTTGAAAAGTTAATACGTGAAAACAGCCATCCAGGCCCTACACGATTGGTTGATCGGAAACAGCTTTTCTCGGCATCTTTTGGTCACACTGAGCATTTCACATTTGTGTTCATTAAACGCTGATGAACCCTTGCCCGAGTCTTATCAACAGAGGAAGCGGGGCCTTCTTGGTCCTAGCTCGCTGAGCCTCTCCGAGGCGGAGGCGCCGGGTGATGCTGATGGTGACGATGACTCAGAGCACGCCTACAGAGGACGGGCGGACCAAGTTTGGCAACCAGCGCGCCTGCTCCTCCACACGTGTCTTGAAGAGGTGAGATCTGTGAAGGGTGCGGTTCTTTTGGCTGCACCCTTGTCGCCAGTCGGAACGGTTTGTTCTTTTCTTGCACAAAAAAGAGCTTCGCTTAATTGCGACACACTGGCTAGCTTTCACCATGGTTTAGAATTGATAACGGATCATGGCTCATGGAACAACAGACTGTGAATCGTAAATGAGGTTTGCGGTTTGTGGCTCAATAGTTCTTACATTCGCCTCCAAAGCTCATTTCGATATCCATTTAATAAATGTTCAAATGCTCATCTTGCAATCATTTATTCAGTGGGCCTACCAAAAGACTTCATTTGTCGCCTTTGTAAGTTTTGTCGATTCCTCGAATGTCAGATGTCAAAGACCCTCATTGACATGAGCTCGAGCCGTCGAACTTTGAAACTATTGTCTTGAAATGGTGACCTTTTGTTTTTCCTTTTCAGAAACTGAAGGACTGGGTGGAAGCTACCGCTGCACCCATGTCGCCTGTCGCGGCACCCGTGAGGATGACGAACGGCTGAGGAGGACGCTGGTGCTGTGGCAGCGTCGGCCATCTTCTCTGGTCTTCAGCGACGGGGTTCCTGCTGTTACCATTCGTGTGGTTAGGGGCGCATAACGACCTCGCCGTCAGTGCGACCCTAGCCCTAGCAAGCAAGGGTTGTTCTAGCAGTAGCATTATTTAACACGCGCAGTGGAAGGGGGGGCGGATTTCGCCCTCCCCTCCGGTTTTTCGCCAATAACTCGCGCCGTAAACCTAATATTAATGTGAAATTTTGGCTACCTGTCCAAAATTGAATTGTGGATCTTCTCGTGCAAGAAATAAGAAAATCGGTTCACAACTTTTCTAGTAATAGCGGTGTAAAGTCAAACATCCTGCCGCCGCGGCGGCGCGGCGGCCGGCGCTAGCCGTTACGCGCCGCCTGAATTGTAGACTGTGCCGGGGCGGGACGGTTCCGTCTTTACATCGCGCTCCTTACCGCTGATTACATTAGATTTGCGTCAAATTTGGTGAAAAGACTGAGAAATGTACAGGCAATCATATGGTCAAATAATTTTGAAAATCGGCCGGTAAATACTTGAGTTATGAGTGTGTAACAAAATTGTGATTGCCGCGTTTCCCGCGTCGGCCGATCCCGCTTCAGCCGGCGACATCTTACCCTTAGCAGGCTTCCAACTGCCATATTTAAAGTTGGATTAACTAGAAATTCACCATAGATACTCACAAATGTTCGGTCTTTTGTATAATGAAAGAAAAAAGAAAATCGGCCGGTAACTTTTTGAGTTATCGGCGTGTAAACGCAAAAAAGTCGCTAATAAATATGGCAGATTTGACCACTTTTGACCTTATTTGACCTTGAAGATATTGACCTAGGGTCATGAAATTCACACACAACAGAGTTCCCCATGGCCCCCACCTACCCTCCAAATTTCGTCTTTCTAGCTCCAGTGGGAGCTGATATCTTAGGGGGGGGGGGCGACATCCGCCCCCCCCCCCTTCCACTGGGCGTAGTACTCGCAACCCTTCCACTGCGCGTGTTAACCCATTTACGTAAGCCTTTTTTGTTAGTTTTTGTTTCTTCTGATGAGACCTGAACATCTCAAATTTCTTTTATCCTTGATGAGTCTAAGCTGCTAATGAGTGTAAGTGTTAAATCAGTTCGATTTTCACGTGCTTGAAGCTCATAGGCTGAGACGCTGCCTCACGGCTGTGTATTTAACCTGTTGGAGGATGTCATGCTCGCAGTCTGGCAAACGTAAGAATGAAACTGTGTCAATGTGGTTGAGTCCATTCGCACGTGTACGTGTTTCAATCAGTGCACGTAGACCAGAAATGTCTGCCCGTCTTAAAAGTCTAACAGGAAATTGAGAAATGCTCTCAGACCTATGCAGAAATTATTCATGCTGGTGCATGGGCCAATGTTTTTCGCTTTATCTCTTGCTTATGTTCGCCAGACTGCAGCGCCGTCATCGCGGCACCGTATCACAACTTGGTTTAATGTTAATAGGTGGCGCCAGCGGTGCTATGGCAGTGCTGTGACCGAGTGGCGCACATGCCTTTACCGAAGTTCTCTTATGATGACCCGCTTTTGTTTTCCCAGCAATATTTAGCTTTTCAGCTTATATTCTCTGATAGATGCTGCTGTTCTTTTGGAGGAGCTGGTCGGCTCGTCTGTGACACGTGGCAGCAGTTTCCGTCCTGGGGTTTCGTTTTGTGGGACATCTTGTAGACCTCAGTCGTGGCTACCGATGCTAACTACCGTCTCACACGTGATGGAACGGTGGTACTCGTACCAATGTCATTACAGCCTTCAGTGGAGCGTGAATACTGACTGGCGTGACCAGTGACTTCATCCTCGGCATATTGGAGAGACATCATTTTTGGCACGATTCATATGTTCATCGGAACATTTGCAGCTTAATGATGAAATAGGTGTTTTAAAGATGACAACTACGAAACGATTCTTCAACGAATTTGCATTTCGAAACCATTCCATTTCGTGGTTTCACTCGTGATGTTTTCTAAAATAAGTCCTACCAGGTCTGCACGTCCTCTGAAAAGCCTGGTCCGCACCACCACTGTAATGTAGATTACATAAAAACAACTATTCACACGATATTAGTTCATAGAATATCATATATGGCATGGAATGGCACATGACAACAGACGTTTCGCACTGCACATGCTCAGTCTAATTAATAGACGTCGTGATCGCGTGTACAAGCTTCTGAATCGGTACACGAACGTGTAAAAAAGGTCGGGTCACCGGAGGCTTGAAACGTTCTTATTGCTGTCGAGGATACCAGGTGTGGCCCACTGTCACGCCGCATCACGCGGTCAGTGAACTCTGACGCTGAGACCCGTCCACACCCCTGTTCTGTCCGTCACAGCCGCCGTGGAGAGCTGGCGGGTCATCAGCCTCTCCATCATGGCCGCCAGACGCTCCTCGCGCTGGGCGGACAGCTCCGCCTGCTGGAGCAGCAGCGCCGACAGTTTATCGAAATCACTCATGTCTATAGATTATAAAACTCAATCACTTAATCACAACACCGACCGCGCCATGTTATGTTTCTGTTCGTCGGTTCAGAGTGAGAGAGGAATAATAAGAACTAAAGCGATTTATTGGGCCGTGATCCGACGAGGCCGAGATATATACACAAAGACAACAAGTATGGCGTTGGTTATGGAATAAAATAATAGTTAAAAGTGATAAAAATGGTGCGACACCTGGGAAGAAATATTTTTCCATTTATCACAGAACAATGGCAAGGGGCCTGAAACTTAGCTGTGGCTCTTTTGAACGACCGCGAAGAGAACTATAATTGGCAAACAATAACTTGAGTTGACGCCAGTTGTGAAAGTCAATAACACAATCACCGCTTAATGGCCTAATCACAGACGCTGCACTGCGTCACACGGCGACCACGCGACCGCTCAGATGCGCAGCCACCCGGGGAACCAGTTGGATGCTCCGATCCTCTCATACCCCTTCCGCGTCAGGTGTAGGTACACCGTCCGTGCGGTGGTAGCCCTCATCCGCTCGAAGCGCGCGCGCGTTCTTCGTTCACTTCACTTTGCCCCGGTCTTCCTATAGCATAGCTATAGCAATGTTTAATGATGGTTCACGACTCTTCATTTCGGTCTACGGGGACTCAAAAGACGAATACCTACCAATGATAATAATGGTATACTATTATTATTATTATTATTATGCTGTTACTGTAGAAAAAGGTAATAAAATAAATGTTGAACAATTATTTGAGGCCTGCACAATGCAGTTTGCAGGCTTCTGTAATACTTATTAGTGGTGTGACATGGTACAGACTCGCACTGAATGGGGGGCGGAACAGATGCGGTGTTCGGGTTAATGACGTGACAGCGGCTCGGTGCACATGTCTCCGACCCACATCACCGTGGTCGTGTGTAGATTACTTAGATAGGTCTGATTTTCATTTCGGTCCTTTTCAGGGAGTTCTATCGCCCTCCACGGCATTGAAAGGCATAATAATGGTCACAATAGTCGCAGCCCGCAGGCGCTGGAGTAACCCATTCACTGCCCGACCCCCCCCCCCCCCGCACAAACGCTTCTGGTGGGGGGGGGGATTAGTTAACTCCTCGACGTAATGTATTTTACAATATGCAATATACATGCCTGTGCGTTAATTACAATTCGTTGATCTTTTTAGACACGAGTTTTCTGCAAGACAATATCACCGTGAGTGCCAAGTATCAATGATAATTAGCATAAACAAGTAAGTTTTTGTGAAGTATAACTACAACACTGAGTAGCATAGCAACCAGTAATAGCATAGCAAAACGTAAGGTCTGTCATGTGCTTCTGACAGATGAATGTTGAGCAAAAGCAAATTTCATTCCCGCACAATGCAGACTGCAAGCATATTCCTACACCAAACACAGGTTTTTATAACATGACACTGACACAAATCTACAGAGCTAAACACTAAGCATCTACACACACACACTGCGGTGTTCGGGCTTGACTGCCGCACAGTGCATGTGTCACGGACATTCACCGCTGTGGTGTTCACTCCATTGAGTGAAGATCCCTTAGGTCGGCCTGATTTTCATCTCTGTCTTCTTCAGCGACTCCATGGCCCTCCACGGGAACCACCAGATTCCGGTGCGGGAGCCGCCGCTGGCCTCCGAGTACCGTCCGTTCAGGTTGCTGAGCCCGCACCACTGGCCGTACCACCAGGCGCCGCGGTGCACGCGGGCGCAGCTCAGCGTGGACAGATGGTCGCTGTCGCGGTCCTCAGTGGAGAACTGGTAGTTGACGTTCTCCATCAGACCGTCCCCGGCAGTTCCCGAGTAGTTGGTGACGCTCAGTCTGTAGCCGTCCACCTCAGAGGAGATGCGGAACCCTTGGTATATAGCGTATGATCGATTACCGTCAAAAGCCTCCAGATCAATACGGAGCTCGTACTGTCGGCCTGATGACGTTAGCTGATAAAGGTGTTCTAGGCCCCACCAGAATTCCTGGGCTACATTACCAAATCCCTCCTTGTAGTCGGTCCATCCGAGGTAGAAGTCCTGCCGAGGTTCGATGTCCGCCCGTCGCTGGATCACCGTCCAGTTCCCTCCGGTAGTGTCCATGTCGCAGTACGCCTCGACGGGTGACTGTTTGCTGTCATTGCTGGGCTGAAGGAGGTAGGTTCCAGATGTGGAGCCGACGTGCAGGTCACTGCAATCGCGGGCAGCGGTCTGAGCTGCCGCGGCAGGAGAGCGATCAGCGCTGCACCTCCTTTGGGTCGTCCCCTGGCTGTCCGTCGACCGGGCTCCTCGCACGTTGGAGAAGGAGTCCAGGCTTCCGAACAGCGCTGCGTGGTCATGTGCTGCGGCTGCTGAGGTGTCTTCAGCGGACTCCTGTTCGGGCTCGCTGTTGGAGTCATCCAGTTCTGGCCACAGGCTGCCGAGCCGTGAACCTCTGAGTCTCCGTGTTAGGCTGATTGCCGGACGCCGGACGCCAAAATGCACACGCGGGTTGGTGTCCTCGTTGGATGGGCCTGTGGCGGGCTCCTCCGAGGCTAGCCCGTTGAGTTGTGCCCTGACCTCGTTCAGCTGCGACTGCTGACTCGCCAGCTGGCTGGACAGTTGCTCGGTCTGATGACTCTGTCCGTTTTTCAGGGTCTGGGTGGTCAGCACGGAGACCATGGACTCGAGCAGACTCTGGCGGCTGTTCATCGACTCCATCTGCGACTCGAGTTTGCTGACGGCCGGCCGCAGCTCCCGCTGAACGGCCAGCGATATGATTCTGAACATGCCGTTGATGCTGGCGCCGGGCACGCTGGGTGGCGGCTCCGGTCGCGGCTCCGGCTCCGGCTCCAGCAGTACGCCGCAGCCACACGATGCCGCCAGTGCGGCTGACAGCAGCACCCCGGCACAGCTCCAGCGCGCGGCCATGGCGGAGGGAGGAGACGACGCCGACTGGCTGCCGACCGCGGCCGGACTGCCGGCGCGGGCAGCGCGGGACGGCAGCAGGGCTCGGCTGACGTCTGCCCCAGGGGCCACATCCGGCGGCTGGACAGCTGGGACCGACAACAAACAGTGGCTCAGGGACTGGATACCCGGATGCTGGACTCTCTCGGCTCCCCGGCCGCCGCAGGCAGTGACCGTCCAATAACATTCTAGAAGGACTTCTGAAATGGTATGCCGTTGTTGCGGATTTAGGTAACTGAGCATTTCATACGTCGGAAGATGTACAGCTGATGCTTGTTCTTGATGCTTAGCAAAGCTAAGACAGAATGGATTAAATGTGCAACAGCTATTGATGCACGTCTCTGTAGTTCCTCTAAAATTTCAAGCACTCCTGTGGCGGGCTATCTTGAAGTGCTTCAAGGCGCTTTAGGTCACTTTTTCCTAAGGTTTGCCAGACTATGATTGCATTTTCAACTGAGTTTGGCGATTATGTTTATAGAAAGTTGCAGACCAGAGTTATAGGCTAATAGTCATTATAATCATGTAATCTTGTAGCCTTGTATTCACAGTTGTGTGGTAATTAGCGGACGACTGTCCACATCAAAGCCATTGTCTTGCGATTCTGGTGCGTCCAGCTTCTGTGTCACGAGGCGTTTCTGGTTTTTCAGTCTCTTCCATGTTATCTCATTTGTTTTCTTCCAGCCCTCGTCAGTGCGTACGCATGCGTTCATGTTTCCAATTCTGTTCTACATATTCCTTGCGTGTTCGCCCGAGCGTTGTGTGTTCTGTAACGCTTTCGACCGACGGAATGCCGGCCAATTGACAACTGTTTTCATGTGTGTACCTCCTGTGCAATGTGCTCAATGTACTTGTTTCGTTGAATACATTTTATTTCGCTGAATAGATTATTTTTAGTTATGAGCTCTGCGACGCTACTAGCCACACTACCGACGCATACCTATTGATGAAGAATGCTATCTGGGTGTGAGGCTGGGTCAAAGATATGCCTGCCACCAACTGTGTATCGCGGGTGCTGCCCGATCCTGACCTTTCCAGTGTAAATAAGCTGCTCTCTCGGGATGTCTGGGGTTTGACCTATGTCGCCATTGGTGGATGACCACACCGCACTGCGACGACGTCAACCCCTCTTCGTGCAGCCGATGCGCCACAACACAGCAGCAAAAGCAGCCGGAATGGCTCGCCAAACCCGGCGAACATACACATGACTACATAGAAATAAACCAGTATACATAGAGGGGAGCCTTTCCAGCAATGGATGACAATACAATAAGCAATGACATCTTGCATCCGAAGAGTGGGGAAGGAAGGGCACACAAGTAGTGCGCACCGATGCACCACGAATGGGTTAGTTCATCCTGCTGCTTCAGCCTACTGATGACAAAATTGAAATATTGCCCAAGCATGATGAAGTTGGGAGAAAAATGGGAAATCAAAATCAGCTCGCGTGGCGCGTGCCGCCATGGTACCTACAGAATCTGCCTACACCGACACTACAAACTAAAATTTAGAGCATTGCCTCGGACCCGGCGATGCTATGCCTCACAGGCTCGTTTGCTCAAATTGCTCGTTAATTAGCGAGTCCAGTGTTTGCCCTGTCAGGTCGTGCGCATGGATGGCGCACGGTGCGTTTATCCTGCTGTGAGGTGCAATAATTGGCGGGAACTACGGCTGCTTTTCACCTTTTTTCTCAGATGCACACGTTTTTCAGCGTGCTCGTGGCGACACTGGGACTGCAGAACTCAGAAGGCCCACTGCTGAAGGCCAGCTCGGAAAGTCGGGACAGCGATCAGCAAACAGGGCACTCAGACATCACCAAGAATAGCTCGAAAAACCTAGGCGTGTGATCAGAGGCCTGTTTCACTAAAAACTTGTATTTACAAGTGTTTGTAGTTTACAATTCATAAGTATTTTTACCAACTACGTAAAAACCGATTTCACTAAGCTTCATCGCCAGTGGCACCTCCGATAAAAAAATGTTTGCAAATAAACTTGTAAACAGTAAAAATGTTTTTAATCAAGAACTATAGCATGTTAAAGATATTGCTTCTTTGTATCAAATATTGTCTAGTATTCATGTCAAAAGCTGTCTAATTAAATTATAAATAATGATGCTCTTGGAATAAAATATAAATGATAGTTAACATTGTCCTATTATTGAAAGAAAATAACACGCAAAACATTTGACAGCAGAAGACTGTTGAATGCAATTATGGCGCGCGAATGACAAAACATGACGATATTTTAATACGATTATTTTGCTTCTTAGGGTGTGTGCTAAGTAAAAATTGAGCATGAAACGACTCAACAAAGCATAGGTTTTCTAAATATATGACTGTTTTGCATTATTGCACAAAAAGTAGCAAAATTCCGAACGTCAAGACCACTGGAATTTCAGGTTTGTAATTACGATGTTTTCTTTCAAGTTTCTGGTCTTCGTGAAACAGAAAGTTTGCGATTCCCATGTTTTCTAGCAAATTTTTTCTTGTAAAAAAGTTTGCAAATTTTAAACTCAAAATTCATGTTCAAAGGTTTTGTGAAATCCAAATATCAAATGTTGGTAATTATTTCTTGTAAACTCAAGCTTTTTCTTTGTAAATACAAGTTTTATTTGTTAGTGAAACAGGCCTCAGTTTCACCGAAGTAATAGAAAACGGCGGTGTGCTACGCTCTAATCTATAGATTATAAAAACTGGGTACCTGCGTGTACCTATACACGCAGGTACCCAGATTCCCACGACCCTATGCTATGGCCTATGGCCTATGGGCACCCTGATATGAACGTCGCCAGTGTTTATTTACCTGTGGCTTGCGGTGCGGCAGAATCGCCGCTTCCCCCGCTGCACGGTGTGAGAACTGCGCCACTATTGTATAAAACTCCCGGTGAGTCGTCGGCGGCCAAACCACGCGTCGTTTTTGTCGCTCCAGCCGCGCCGTTTTTGACGCTGCGTGACTCTTCGCCATGCATGCCACTGATGCGCCGCGATTCTCACTGGCTGCTCGAACGGGGTGCAGCCGGACAGGCATTGGTGCCGCATGTCTAAAGACCTGCTTCATGTTACCTAAGTAGTAAGTACCTACGCCACTATCCGACGCCATCAGGATATTTTGGAGACTGAGCAAACCGAGTGGCGAGCGCTTCTGCTTACGGTTGCATGAAAAAAAAACGATACTCGGTAGCGGCGGTGGTATAGAACAATTGTGTTTATTGGAGCGAAATCAGTTGACTTTGCGGTGACACCAGCCAGGCGTGTGTGTGAAGTTTCAATGCAATACTGCCACAACACTTATTTTACAATACTCGCATAATTTATCGGCCATCGTTATGACTACCTCATAAGGCGTGCCGCGTGGGGAGTCACAATACAATACTTCCACAACACTTATTTTACCTCGCATAATTTACCGTCCATCGTTATGCCTGCCTCATAAGGCGCACAGTTCATTCATTCATTCATTCATTCATTCATTCATTCATTCATTCATTCATTCATTGATCATCATTCAAGTGAAGTCCGACACTGTTCTCAGCTTACGCCGTTGAACCATTTAATTTACACCAGCTCAATTATCACAAATAAAAAAAAACATCCAATTAGCAAACCAAGCACTTCGCTCTTTGAGTATTTACTCATGCACCAATCATCACATAACAGCACAGCATCAGCTCATGCCGGGCGACCTTGACCCAGCACGGGTCGGCGCGCCGCTCAGCTGGCGGTAGCCTCTCAGCAGGCTCCCGCCGCCGCTCAGCTGGCGGTAACCTCGCAGCAGGCCTCTGCGGCGGCGACCCCGTCCACCAGCAGCTGCACAGCGGTGCCGAGGAGCAGCGGCCTGCTTCCCCCGGCCACCACGCTCCAGTCCAGCGAGGTCTCCTGAAAGGTGACGGCCGTGCCAGCGCTGGTGGGCCCTGAGCTGACCAGCGCTGGGCTCTCCGGGCTGGCCAGGCCGGCAGAGACGTCCGCGCAGGGCACGGAGTACACCAGGATGCTGGTGGAGCCGGCGGGAACTGAAACAGGCGCCGCCGGTCAGCGGGCGTTTTCAAACAGAACTGCCGGCGGGCGAGGGAACAGCATAGGACCTCTAGACTCGGGTCACAGACTGTTGACCGTTGTCTTAGGTATTTATGGAAATGACCAATAGACGACGCTAACTAATTTCGACAAAACGGAAAGAGCCTCTTTTGACAGTTCTTCACTTTTGTGTCATCTGCTTTATCTGCTCATCTGATTATCTACACTATTTTTGGTCTGAGCGGAATATTTTTTTCGTTATGAGAAACTTAAGTCCAAATGGATGAATGGATGGCTTTCGGCCCGGATGTCATGTTAAGCGGTGCTTGTAGTGAGTGAAACCACGACCCCCCCCCCCACCGGACACGTTTCACCGGATACCGATACCTAATTTCAATCGAAATTCCAGCGTGACCCAGGGAGATGGCGAAATGACAGTAATAGGTACTTACCTACTAAAATATTTTCATGTGACCTTTCGAATGGCCTCTGCTGCCTCTCGCTGTGCTGCTTAGCTTTCGAGATTCCCTAAGCCAGATTACTGCCCCGAATGCCATCGTCCCGTTATTACGAAGGTGCCTCACACTTCAGGATGTTTGTCCGAGTGCGTGTTCAATTGTCCACAAATTAACTGCAAGGACCAAGGTTCATTGGTGCTAGGTATGTCGTACAGCTTAGTTGTCGGAACTGGATTGTAGAACGCTATCTTTTTTTACGTAACCGTCACGAGGACTTATCGGATAACATTCGCGGACGACAGCACACCAAAGATTCGCCATAAAACAGTGGTAGTTTATTTCGGCGTGGTTTACAAACCATTTTAATTATTCACCGTTTACAGCAGCACCAGGCGCGTAACCACCACTGGGGACACTGGGGACCGGTCCCCAGTAACTTTTGGGTTACTGGGGACCGTCCCCGGTAAAACCGACGACCTCCTCAATTTGTATAGCC